AAACAGCAGTGAATTCTGCATATTTATGTATATAACTCACCCAGACCGATACTTTTGAGGGCGTCCTCATATTTCTTATCCTGACAAGCTTTAATACCAAGACCAAAGTGAGCATGTGAGCTGTTAGGATCCAGTTCTGAGAGACGTTGGAAACAACGGACAGCTTCCTCACTGAAGTCACCTACCAGGATCATCGGAGACAAGAACATTTATCTGAGAGCAGTGTTATTATTGAAATATCAGACATGAGGTATATGCTTATTCCAAACAGAGACAGGTTTATTTTTGTACTTATTGTAGTGTTTAAAAGTTTGGGGTAGTTTTTTAAAATTTTGAAATAAGTCTCTAATGCTTACCTTTTAAAATACAGTAAAAAAAAAAAAAAAGGTAAAGCTGTGATATATCATTGAAAATATATTAAAATGTCATTTATTCCTGTGAAGGAATCATAGAGGAGTCATAGAGCGCTGCAATGATGATGTATTTTGTCAGTCAAATTCCTTCAACAAAAAAAACCCCAATAGGATTTTTCCATTGGATTTTGAATTATTGCAGAAATAAGCTTTGTGTTTGATTCTTATTATGAACACATTTTGTTAATCACCAGTCTTGACAAATGAACACAACTTTGTGAATTTTAATGCCAATACATTCGCCAAAAGCTAAATGTAGGCTATAAACACACTGCCTCATGGTCACACTTCAATGCCACCATCAATAAGCTTCCAACAACTCTTTCAGTCTATATTTAAAAAATATTTTCCCTGAAAGATTGAGTTAAAATAGTTTGCAAGAGCGCAAGTATAAACACAGAGAGGCTGTGAAAGCGGACTAGTGAGTTTTCAAGACAAGTAAAAACATTAAAATAATCATATTACTCTTGTATTTTATGCTATAGAATAAAATGAGTGCTGTCAATCAACTCATTTCTTTTTTACCAATTAATCGCACATTTTTCTGTAATTATTTGCACCTAACATTACAGTTAATATATTTTTATAATATAAAAAATTTACATTTAAAATCCAAATTAATGCAGAAACAAAGACAGTAGCCTACATTTTAAATATTTTTTAATGGCATCTTTTGTTGAGAAAGCCAGCATCACAGATACACCAATACTGCTACTGATGTCTGATGATGATTGATATTTTTTTTTCTCATTTCAGCCATTACTTATAGCCATTAAGCATTCCAATATAATTAAAAGCTATACATTTGAACATTTATTAGGTCTTTAAAAACAGAAACTTTTAATTTAAGTAAACTTCACATAAACCTGCAACAATAAATGCCTTCAATATATTAAGGCTACATTTTTTTCTATTATCCCTGTCAAAAACTGCATAAAAAGTTATTGTTTAGTTGTTTTTGACCCATGTAAGCTTGTACACATGTAGGTCTAAAAGGTAGGATATATACAGAAATGTTATAAAGATATAAAACAGTTCACAGTTTTTACTTATTAAATATAGATTAATACTTAAATATAGATATTTAAATAATACATACTTAAAGTATGCTTAAATAAAGCTACACAATTTAAGTCAAGAGAAGTGAGTGATTTTCACTTTTTCTTTTGATATTTATCCAACCTTAATAAAAGACAGCAGCAGGTTTAATAGGCTGCTGTCACTTTAAAACCTAAAGCATGTGACGTGAATCTGATACACATCCCACAAGTCTTTACACTTATTTAAGACTTAATAGAACTCATTTAAGACTGTGTGTACGAGGATGCTCGCCAAAACGGGCGCTTTGGCATTTCGGGCGCAACAGCTTTCGGTGAGCATGAGTTGTGTGTGTGTCACAGGATAGGAGATCCACAGATGTGAGCCCTTACCGCACTGCGTTCTTTTTTTGTGTCTTATCACACTCGAATGGTTTAAAAGGATTTTTATGAATAAGAGTGTGATAATTTACCGTAATGCTAGCCAAAGGATGATGGGGAAAAACGGATGCTGCGTTAACAGCATTAAATATTTTTAGTGCATTAAGCTGAAAAAAATCCATTGCATGCAAGAAGGCATTAATTTTGACAGCACTACTATATATTTGTTGTTGTTTTGTTTCTCACTTATTTCATTTGACTTCGAGGACTCCACACTTACCTGTTAAGATGTAGTGCTCACTGAGGGCCTCTAGAGGGTAGGATTGTGTTGGATAGCAGGACAGTGTGGCATCACAAAACTCTTTTAGCTTGGCCACCTCATGAGGAAGCTGAAATGGATACAGAATATGAAACTCTTGCTTTGGATCAGTCATAATTATTATTGTGTAGCTATATTATTATAATTGTGGCATATAGCACTTGCCAACCTTAGAAAGACATTTAATGTAATCCTGTGAGAGACTGCTGTGGGCTTCACTGGGCACATCTACTGTCATTTCCAAAGCTCTTTCAAATGCTGATATCAGCTGTTGAGAAAAGGAAAACACACTGTAAGCTTACATGAAACGTACATGAAAAAAAGAGCACTTCAAAATTCTCAAAAAAAAAAAAAAAGAAGCATTTCATAACTAATCCATGTAAATCAGACTGACGTGCTGCTGAGTCTCATTGTCCTGATCCTCAATAGTGTCTTGCAGGAGTCTGGTCATCTCCTTCCACAGCTCCAGCAGCTCTGAATCCTCCACCCCTTCCTCTCCCTCCTTCATCTGGATTAACCTCCGCCACACTCTGGCCACCTGTGGGTAGAGTTTAAAACATATGGCGAATCAAACCTGATGTTGATTTTAGAAATAATGTGTAGATTTGTGAAGGTAACAGACCAGTGCAGTTCTAACCTCTGAAATCTTCTGTTGTAATATTACAATATAAAAGTTCTATATATATTACATATATCATATCTATATATACACAACAACATTACAATATAAAAGTTCTATATATATTACATATATCATATCTATATATACACAACAACATTACAATATAAAAGTTCTATATATATTACATATATCATATATATATATACACAACAACATTACAATATAAAAGTTATGCTTGTCCTAGATCATACCTGTAAATAGTTCTTCTCCGACTGAGAGATTTCCACCAACTTCTTGCTCACTTCGAAACATTTTGCTTTGTCTGAGCTGCAAATGCAGAAAAACATACATGGATCAAGAAAATTGTACATAGATCAAGAAACTACACCATGCAGCATCATACTCATTTTTAAATGAGGCTCTTTCAACCATATGATTTCTTTTTTTATTACAAAGCTCTATTTTATTCAGGTTAAAGGATTCATCACTTGTTCTGAAGCAGTCTTCAACTTTTATTCTGCTGCCCCGGAAGAGATGTGCTCCTGTCACTTCTCATTTATGTGCTAATAACCAATAAAAGTTTTGTAGACAATTCAGCTTATGTGTTCAATAAAATGACTGGCATGATTATAGAATGCAAGTTCAAAGAATTTCACAGATTTTAATTTTTTTTTTTTTTTTAATTTTTTATAAAGCCAAATTTAAAAAAAAAGGTGTATAGGAGACAATTCCAAAACCAAAGAAACTCTGGTAAATTTTGATCATGCAAAAAGGAAAATAAAAAGAATGCAGGGGTAAAATCTAATTTTTTAAATCTATTATAGCCTATCCTTTTATTTTAAATTAGATTTTTTTCCGTTTAAAATCAATCTAGCAGAAAAGAACACCACTTTACTTACATTTCATACAGTGTAATAAGTTTCTGGTAAATCTTGGGCAGCTCGGCTTTGAAATCTGCCTGGTCACCTTTTTCGTACAAATTTGCTAAACCCTGTAAAAGAAATCCACATCTCGTAAACCTTCATTGTTCGATCAGCAGTGCACAATATCATTAAAGACCACATTAACAAGTGAAAGTAACATGTGAAGGCCAAGTATGGTGGTAACTGGTAACCCATACCCAGAATTAGTCCAAGGGCATTTAACCCATCCAGGTTTGTGCACACATACAGCAATGACTCAGTCATTTCCTGTCGGTATTGAGAATCGAACCTGCAACCTTAGGTTTACCAGTCTGACTCTCTAACCATTAGGCCACAACTTGCCAAATGGCTAACAAACTGTGTCCTTAAACAAACACTATATTTCATGGACCATTCATTAAAGTTCATAAACTACAACCTACCTGCCATGCCAGCAGTTGCTCTGGCTCCAGTTCAGTAGCCTTTCTGTAGGCGATCTGTGCCTGATCCAGCTGCTGCAGCTCTGTGGCTGCCACTCCAATGAACACCCAGGCATTGTAGTTATTCTTCTCAAGCTTGAGAACAGCCTGGAGTACAGAAATATGGTTTAACTTGAGAGTGAAATGTTTACCTTGTCTACCCATTCAAATACAGTCAATCAAGAGAAAAAGTATGAGATGGAAGTTATTTAGTGTATGCTGACAAGTGGAAGGAAACACTTACCTTACAATGTTTCAAAGCTTCTTTAAACTCTTTATTTTTAATGGCTTCTCTTGCACTTTTCAGCTCAGCTTTCACTTCTTTACTGGACATTTTCTTAAATAATTTGACAGAGATAAATCAATGTTAACGAAACATAAGCAGTAGTAAATGTTTCCAGTTATGTTGCCTATTAACTTGCTGATGTAGACATAACTAAATTATCATATTATAACACTTATTTTCAAAGGAATTCTGTGTATTTCTAGAACGTTATTGTAAGAAATGTACGTACGGCAGAACGGGCAGAACTTGGTTTGTTTCCATTCAGCAAGCAGTAAAGTGCGCATGCGTGTTGCGATGCTTAACCCTACGTCATTTTACCGCGACAAACATTGTATCTATTTATCTAAAATTAAAAATATATATATTTCCCGTGCGTTGTATTTGTTTAATATTTATAACATATGATATCAGAAAAGATTCTAATACATTATTCCCAGAGAGGTGTCAAATGTAAACTCTACCTACCTTGACCATGTTTGGAGGCGGAACAAATGCTCAGCAGCCAATCCGTTGAAGGATTGACTTCACACGAACCAATCACTGAACTGGTGTATTGTACTACATTAGTATGTCCCATGTGTTACCCATGTGAGCGACTCGTTGAATCAGAAGAAACTGTAAATTAATGAATTTTTTGTGTGTTTACTCTTCTAAAAGCTTATTGTAAATCCTGTGCAAATTAAGAAAAAGAGGAAGAAATCGTCATTAATTGAAGAAAAGTTTCACGAGGTTTGGTGTCACGCATCTGTTTTTATTATATTACTTAGAAATGCTGTATTATCAAAATACACCACTTTTGCTTATTGTTTTACAAAATACTTATACCTTTACTCTTAGTTTTTTGTTTTGTTTAGTAAATGCATATACAGAAAGTGTATAAACATTATCGAAGAGTAATAACAACCGTAACATCTCTTCAACAGATGGAAGAACCAGATAACATTAATATTGAAGAAGGAATGGAGAACAAGAGTGCAAAACAATCTAAGGATCCCAAGCGAAAGGCAAATGACACAGTCTCGGATGGTGGGGTCTTACGGCCTCTCAAACTGTCCAAAAAGGAGCTATTCAAAGCCCCCACAGTGGAAGAGCTCAATCAGCTGAAAGAAGCAGAAAATCTCTTCCACTGTAGCATATTGAAAATGCAGGTCAGAAATCACATTCATGTTTTACTGTCATTTTATGTTACCATAGCTGCATACATGTTTTATTGTAAGCTATAGTATGCTCAATGAGTTGCTCACTGCATGACATGGCTGTGAACTGTGAATCATTTATCAATGTATGAGACTATGTGCATTATTACAATATATTCAGCTTTATTTATCACTGATTTATATGGTTGATGTTCAGATGGAAGAACTGCTGAAAGAAGTGGCCCTTAGTGAGCACAGGAAGAAGCTGGTGGACTCTTTTGTGCAGGAGGTTACAGATTCACTGCAGTCTGTGCCTGATTCTGAAGTTGTGGAGGTTAGACATTTGTGCAGCATTTACATTGTCATCAGCAGCGTAGCTTTAACACTTTTTTTTTTTTTTACTGATCTCTATGGTAGCTGTCAGCATAATTTTCTTATTAGTATTTTCTTTCTCTCTAGTTGGATGATCTTTCATGGTTGCCAGGTGTGGAAGTCCCATTCCTCTTCGCCTCGCTGGAATCAAAAGGCAAATTTCACATGGAGCCTCCTGCATCAATTGATGTGGTAGGCAGTTATCCACTGGGGACCTGTATCAAACCCAGAGTCATTGTGGACTTGGCTGTCACTATTCCAGCTGTAAGTTATAAACTCCAAAACAATGGTGCTATTTATGCAACACATGTCTCTCTTTGTCCATCTATACATCGATCCATCTTGCATCTATCTAACCATAGTTCTAGCATCTGTCTGTATAAATATATATATACACACACATTTGAAGTGGATCATAAAGTTAATCAAAGTTGTCCTAAGACGAGAACGGGTATTCAAAATTCATGTATGACTTCGATGAAAGGTTTTGACCCACTTGTTGACTGCTGTTTATGAATATATATTTTACTGTCGGTTTAATGTGTGGATTTAATTAGTTATGGAATTATAATGCAAATACATACAATTAATTAACGCACCTGCCCTGACTTACAGTCATCATACATTTCATACAGTTGATTGGTGATGAACATGAAGCAGGAAACTCACTTCGTGATGTTGCCTATAGAATACAGTTAGAATATTTGTTTTAACAGAAATCTGTTTTTGTGTAAATGTGATATTGATTTTATACAACAATAGTATATATCAGGTACAATATTACAATACAACATTGTCTGTTTTGTTATTTTCTCAATTTTGCCAACAAAAATATTAACTGTAAAGCCACAGTAGAACTGTTGTGCGCTCCAAGCAACACACAGCGGTGTTTGTGTCTGAATGTATCCGTGTAATCAATCAAGTGAACCGATGGTTAAATGGCCCATTTATAAAGAGAGCCCTTTACTTCATCCCTGAATGTTTCAGCTGTTTAAACGGATCGAATGAATGAATGAATGACTCAATGACTTATTTATCTAGACACAACCTACTGGCATTTTTACTTTATTTAGAGTATCACTTATTTAAAAAATATATATATATATATATTTATTTCATAAAATGAAAATTATTCTTATTTACCCTCATGTCATTTCAAACCTGTAGGACTGACTTTTGCGAAACATAAAATAAGATCTTTTGAAAAATGTTGCCAAACAAACTGTTTTAGTCTGTAGATGCAGCATCTGAAAACAAAAATCATGGCTGTTGTAGCTGAAACATTTGAATGTTGAATCAAATAAAATATTTCTTTCTTAAGTGATTTTTTTTCATACTTTTCTCATTTTATACAATAATGATGACTTTATATTTTGGGGCCCTAATAAAAATATGTGTGTGTATCCATCTATCTGTCATATGTTTTGTCTGTGTATGCGTGTATATGTCTGTTTGTCTAAAGTATTGTGCAAGTGATTCAATCTGTTACTATCTTCTCTTTGAAGTCTATTTTGCACCCGATGGATGCCATTAACCAGCGGTACCCACGAAAGCGAGCGCTGTATTTGGCTGGCCTGGCGCAGCACCTCTGCTTCTCAGAGTCTGTGGGTTCACTCTGCTACTCATGTCTCCATGGCAACCGGCTTCGCCCAGTCCTACTTCTCAAACCCACAGGTACAATTGTATTAACACTAGCTTGTGAACACGTATTAGCTTCTTCAAAGTTTGCACTACACTTACTTGCAAATGCTTTCATGCCAAAGCAAAATACATGAACGTGCACGCACCATGTCTACTGTTAATATCTGCTCACATCATTTTGGCTTCCAAGTTAATTACTGTTTAGCAGATGCTTTTTTTGGTGCTTGGAGTACACTGATAACACTTAAAACACTTAGACTAGTTGATCTTGTTCAGGAGCATGCATTAATTAAAGGGTTTTCATCATTGCTTCAAACTAAAATGATCATGTAACCTTTGTGTTTGACCTGTAGGTAAAGACAGCAGTAAGGTCACGTTGCGGATTCATGCCATTCCTCCTCCGGACTTCCTTAAACCTAGCCGCTTTCATCCTCGGAAAAACAACATCAAGACTGAGTGGTTTACAGGTGTTGCCAATAAGCAGCAAGGTACTGAGTAACTTTCTGTGATCACACAAGGCAGAACACATACCGACATGTCATCATAATATTTTTCTGTCATTTTTTATCATGCAGAGAGCAGTGGGCCCGCTACTCCTCATTATAACAGCACAGTTCTTGGAGATCATCTCCCACTGTCACATCTTCAGTTCCTATCAGCCATCAGCGCACAGTGTCCTGCTTTTGGAGATGGTGTCGCCCTCCTCAAAGTGTGGATGAGACAGAGAGAACTGGACCAGGTAAGACCACAGTATTTCTGCGTGTGCATTTTATGTATTACCCACATTGAAATAACAGTAGTGACGTGAATAGAAATTGTGACAACCTGTTGGATTCATTTATTTTGTAGTATGACCTTTTATTTAAAAAAAAAAATGTTGTTCATAATCGCTACATGTACATTACTCTTCACTGTTTATACATGCATTTATTCATGCACTATCTCTTTCTTCTTGCATAATTGTATCTTTAGCATACTTGTACATACATATTTTGTCTATTTTGTTCAGTCTATCTGTTTTTTCCCCCACACTATAGTTAAACAACTTGTTCTTAGAGATTTTTTTTTAAGATACAATGTCTTTTTTTGTGCCGTCACAAATTCTGTTTAATAAATTCTGTTTCTGTCATTTCTTTAGGGTGCAGGTTGTTTTTGCGGCTTCCACGCATCAATGTTAATGGCTTATCTTCTATCCACACACAAAGTGGGCAAAACCATGAATGCGTACCAGCTGTTCAGGAATGCACTGCACTTCTTGGGTAAGCAAGGTCATAGTATAACTGATTTTTATAGCTTGTTATTATGGTGGTTATGGGAGTGTATTCATCAGTTTAATCATCTGGGTCACTTGATAAAGTTTTTCGGTTCCTTGCCACTGTTGCCTTTGGCTTGCTCAGTTGGGGATATTCAAATTAAATGACCCATCATACCATTGATCAGCTCCACCAAACTTGGATGTCTTTTTTTCCAGTAATAAACAAACGCTGTTAAGTTCTTTTGATTGATACTGTGAACTTGAAGCAGATTTTAAATACAATCTGTATTGTAAAAAGTGCTTTTTAAATATATTTGACTTGACTTGACTATTCTACACACTTTGTATTTGTGTATAATGTATTCTTGTATAATGGCTGTTATTGTTCATTAACTATTATTGTTCAGTAAATAATATTTTGTAATATGTTGCCACTGTTGCCTTTGGCTTGCTCAGTTGGGGATATTCAAATTAATCAATCAATCAGTAATACCCTGGATCAGCTCTACCAAACGAGGATGTTTTCCACTAAGAAACGAACATTGATTGATTCTGTGAAGCTGCTTTGATGCAATCTTTATTGTGAAAAGCGCTATATAAATATACTTCTGCTTTATCCTTTCACATTTTCAGCTTCCACAGATCTGACAGAGAGCGGGATCACCTTGGCTAGAAACCCAGACTCAAAAGCGGTGAGCAGAAGTGACTCATGCATGCACTGTTTTTTTTAAACTGTTTTGCCTTGTTTGCATTACAATGCCTTTCTCTTCTCTCCTGCTTCAGCCCTCACTGCAGGACTTCCAGGCAGCATTCTCCGTGGTCTTTGTGGACCCGTCTGGGCATCTCAATCTGCTTGCAGACATGACAGCTTTTACCTACAAACAGGTGAGCTCTGATCTAGTATCAATTTAGCTCAGTGAGAATGTGATATTCTCTTACTATACAGCTTCTAGAATTAACATTTAAAGTAAATTTAACATGTTATTTTAGTGTAATTATACATTTTAAATAAATGTATTAAAGGGCCCCTTGACCTGACTGTACATAAAGACTGTAACCAGTTGTCCTGTATTCTAGTCAAAGATTTACTTGTCTGCAAAATAATGTAATGCCTTTAAAATATATTGGGGCAGTGGTATTATCGTTAACTAAATTAATAAAAATAAAACATTTCTGTTAATTGAAATAAAACTAAAAAATAAACAATTTGACTAAAACTAAAATGAAAAATGAATTTACTAAAACAAAAATTAAATGGAAATGAATAAATACTCTAGAAGTATAATGATAATACTAAAATAACACTGATATGGTGGCTTTCTCATATATTTAATTGATTTGATGCATGTATTGGAATTGGAAGTTTTAAATCGGTCCAAATGTTTCTAAATTTCCTGTCAGATCCAGCACGAGGCATCACTCTCGCTGAAGTTCTGGGATGATCCGACTGTAGACAGCTTCCAGGCTCTGCTCATGACGTCCAAAGCCATGATCAGAACATATGACAATGTCTTTCAGTAAGTGTCCTTAAACACAAACCTGCTATTCATGTGTTATTGTAATTATGTTTTTCTGAAAACTCTTTCTCGCTCTCCTTCTCAGACTGAGTGGGCTGGTGAATTTGCAGGCCTCTTGTAAGAAGCTTTCACTCCTCAATGAGCTCATGGACCACAGCGGGAACTATGTCCTAAGTGCACTTCCTTTCATTTTGTCCCTCTTGCAACGAGGGCTTGGAGAAAGGATCAACCTTCTGGTACACTCACTCCCTCAAGACCCTGAGGTAGATTATTACCTTTAACATTGGTCAAAACATGCACCTGCATGCATCTTTTAACGATCAGATTGGCTATTTTACCAATAAAAGCGTTCCTAAACGGTCTGTATACATTGTTTTAATGTGTGTAAATTATTTTTGCAGTGGCCGGTGGACAGTTCACCTCCTAAGCATAAGGACCAGCCGCCTTTGAATATTGTTTGATGCTGAACCTTGAACAGCTCTCTCTGTTCTTGAGAGAGGACGCCAGCAGATAACCCAAGGTAAACTAGCCCACATTTCCAGTGACGTCTGTGTATGTGTCTTGTGGTTCTGTAAGCAGTGTCCAAACACTCTCTCTGTTGTTGGTGTTTGAAGGCAGATGAG